AAGCATCTTGTTCGTGTCCAAATTGTAATCTTCCTATTCAATAAACACTCATTTTTGGGACTTTGTTCTAAGAGGTTTGTCTCTTACACAATCGTCTGATCCCTTTTAATTGTTAGCGAGTAACTGCACGAAACACAAAGTTATCTCCCCATTATGGAGTTGTTGAAAGGGCTGTAGCATTTTACTGGAAGATTACTTGACGGCAAAATTATATAACATCAGATAATGCATCAGATCTATGAAGCAAATATAAAGAATTTACAAAATATAATATGTGGTTATTTCTTGTTCAATTTATGAGCATAAATAGAGATAGACCCATAGCATTATGTGAATGGCTTGTTATCAGCACAGCAACACCAAAGATAGTATCAGATATTAAGTTTGAGCACACTGACAGAGCATGAACCATCCACACTCAATACTCTCTGTTAAGAGTTGGCTATTTGTGGCAGTGCCGGAGGAAACAAAATTTTGAGCCATAATACATTTAAATTGAATCAATTGAGCAGTAAGTACTACATCTAGGTGCAACAATGCAAAACAAAGCAACCTAAGTCATAAATGATTTTTGAATACTGATGAAGCCTTTACAATTGAAGGGGTAAACTATTACCTGCGCGCAGAAATATGGCCCCGGAAATGCCATTTCACTTGACACTGAACAGCAGTAGTCCTTCCACCAACTTGATTGCTGGAAAATTTACTTTGTGCTTTGAATATAATTGTTTATTAGTGCATCTTTAGATATTGTACTTTTATACTCTTAATCAATCTCAATTTTTACTGTCACGCTTCACTTCTTAGTTCTTAAAATGACCTTCTAATGTTATCACTTCTCGACCCCATAACTCTTGACCTCCGGTCCTCACCCCCACATAGCCTATGTTGCAATAATGAAGCCTCGACAACAAACACATGCCAAATGCCTTTGCAACATTGACCTAGATGGATGGTAGGCCTCGAGAGGAGGTGAGATAGTCAAAGATGGTGGCAAGAGAGAGGACGAGGTTGTAGACAGAGGGTCATGTATGCTAGCCAAGGTGGAAAATGTGGAGAAAATTGATATTAATATAGAAGTTAAACGTTGACATTCTGTTGAATAATGAAAATGGAACTAAAAACATCAAGTTCAGTGTTGTAGACAGAAAGCTCCTTCTGTATTACTCCAACGGCAGAGAGCATGCGCAAGCTATTTACATGTCTATATACAAAAAGTTAAAAATTCAGCCTAAACAAAAGCTTTAATAATTATTCGTACCTTTACATTTAATCATGGTACGAATGAATTCTAAAAGAAACAAAAAAGGACACCAGAGAGTAGGTATAAACCCGTGTTGTATATGCTTGTTCTAGTGCCATGGAAGCCAGTCAATCTCATTGTGCCTGCACTACTTGCTTTCGTTGTGTTCACTACCTGGCTCGTCTTTTTATTGCTAGCCTTCTTGCTGCACCAATCATCAAATGTTTGATGTACGTCAAAAGAACACATAAGGTAATCAGATAGATAAAAGCACAGAAATTATGCTTACCTTCCTGGAAATATACAACTGCCATGACCTGCGAATTTCCCAAGAACAAAAGGATATATTTAGAGATGGATAAGAACTGCAGCATGAATACAAAATAATTGGAGGTATGGATGGCTTGACTACAAATTTTACTAACATGTTTCTAATGCACAAATAAAAATTTTGTAGTAAGACAGGGCGTTCTATTGCATGCCAACATAGAACTAGAATTGGACTAATTGGATAGAAAATTATAATCTGCGAAACAGACTGCTAGTGTTCTTCCCACCATCCAATTTGAAATGAGATGGTTTGTTTATGTAATTCTGCCCACATTTTGGATTTACTAGCCCATGAATTGTTGCGTAGTGTGGCATTGCATTGAAAAGATATATCGAAATTCTCATTGCCCTATTGTGTCCTCAATAATAATAATACTCCGAAGGCATGTTCGATATTTAATAGAAGACACGACTGGAAATACAACGCTCTAGATTTTAGATTTTATTTCCTTTTTGACAAGATCTAATCCCTATCCAATCCACCTACCCAACAAACAATGAAGGAACCTTCTCTTCTCATAGAACTCCCATATTGCTAGAAGACAAGCAAACAATTAATCATAGCTTAACCCTCAACATTGCAATATCTAACAATATTCTTAACAACCAAACATATAAATTGCAGTTTCTCCTGTGTCTTTCACCTGAAAAGTCAAATATAAAATCAATGTGTTGGGGCTGGAATCCATTATTATCAAGTGAATCACTTACTTGGATCAGTGGTAGTGATCATGGCCGCACCCTTGAAATCACAAGAACCGGGAGAATTCCCTTCCTTCTGGTAATAACTATTGAAGGCATAAGAAGCATGGTTCT